GCCTTCTAAGGAGATAGCGAACTAAGCTTAATGTCAAACTGATATTAAGTGCAACCCCTAGTAATTAATTATTTCATTTCTCATTTTATTTATATTTCATATTTAAGTTACTTTAATATCTATTTTTTTTATATTAGCTGATTTATTTATAACTAAGCACATTTTCTGTCGTTACATTAGTACATGTCGTTTAATTGTTTGTTTGTTTTTTTGTTTTGTTTCTCAATTGTTCCTTTAAGATCAGTTCTCCCAGTACAATGTTGCCTTGTCTACTGATAATTGTGTTTTTGGGGGGATTAAATCGAGACATGAAAACTGGAGTTTGCTTTTCCAGTGATATCTGGCAACCTTGAGTTTAAATGAAGTGAATGCGCTGTGTGAGTCGGTACGAGTTGGTGAAGAGAGTGAAGGAGCGCAGCAGCGTGCTGTATGTTTACAGACTGAACAGTTGCTATGCTTGATTATGATTCGTGAGGAATTATTTAATAAAGAAGTTTGAATGAAACCCACCTTGTAGCATTAGCATTATTATTAACTTACTCCGAACGACGCCGGTGTGTCTACATGAGCAGGTCACAGTCGTAGGTTCAGGTCATTTTGCGTGATTAATAAAAGATGGCGGTTGTGAGATCAGTAAGTTGAAGCAGATGATGTACAGAGTTACTCTCGTCATCAAAATGGCTTCTCTGCAGTATTTACACACTTGTTCAGTTTGAGTGAGGAAATGAAAAGCAGTGTGAAAGTAACTGTTGCACGGTGTAGATGCATTTGAGCTTTAGTTTTTATCCCGATTGTATTATTCGCACCAGTGCGAATAAATATTTTTTCACAGTTGCACAAAGAACTTTTCAGTCGCAAATGCGAGTGCAATGGTCGCACTGTAAAGCCCTGAATAGTGGGTGTGTGTGTGGGGGGGGGTTGCTGGGGGGCGCAAACTTTTTTTAATTGCAACTTAAAGATTTGTGCTTTTATGCGAAAAACTACTTGAATTGGCGGAATTGTCTTTTGCAGTGATTGTTGGTAAACAAGAGCTTTCAGACGGACTCGTGTTCAACACACGTGTCCAAGAGGCTTTGGCTTAATGTGCATTGTGATGATGCCACTTCGGCCAAATCTGTGGTAAATCTGCGTAACTCTGAAATCGGCAAGTTCCTCCGAATATTGCGGAGTTTGCTTGATTTTGTGTTCATTTCTGCAATTGCAAAAACTGACTGACTGGGGGTTGTTAAAGAAAAAGACCACACAATTTTAGATTTGGGAAAAAAAATATATATATATATATATATATATATATATATATATATGTATATACACACACACACACATATATATACACACACACATACACACACACTTTTATTTAACATATATAATTAAATAAATTTTAAATGTAAAAAAAAAACACAGAAAAAGATACTTTGTATATAAAAAATGTGTTTGCAAAAACATTGCAAACATTTAATTTAAAAGAGTTTTGTGAAATGTGAAAAATCTGAAACATGTTATTGTTAGAAATAAATCATAAGACTAGTGCAAGACTGCGTAAAATAACTACGTGATAGAAACTGTAATCATTTACTTATTCGGCTCTGAAACAGCTGCTGAACGCTTCCACTAATCTGGGATTAGTTTTGTTCACGCTGATGTTATCAGATACTCGACAAGCCAGTACAATCCTGACTGCGTAAATTATATAATAAAAACAGACAAGTATATTGGACTTTTGTTACATGAAAGAAAATTATGAAACAAATCCAACTTGTATGCCCAAACTGAGAAACAAAATATTTAATATATAAAAAGTAATAATAATAATAATAATAACAAAAATATATGATAACCTGAAGAAAATAGCAAATGGTCACACACGACAAATCCTACACTGTGCTTTTATCACCGAATGCCGGTCTGTTCATACAGAAATGCAAAACACATTCCAGATTTTTGCATGCAGTTAACACGTTTCAGTTTCTCCCACTCAGATTCAGACAAGTTTTTGACAGCATTTAGGCTGATCACATGATCCTGCCGTGTCAAATCAAATCATTTTATTTGTCGCATACATAGTATGAAACGTGGTGAAATGCTTTTTACAACCAATATGTAAAAGATAATCTAAAAAAGATCAAACATATCACGTTACACACATCTACAGTGTCCTGGTTCTGGTGGGTGTGCGTTCACAGAGGAAAAACGGTTTCCCGCAGAAGTAAAGCCATGGTTCGAGTCCGAGCGTTACTTAATCGTTAGTGTTCTTCCATCATTCCCCATATAAATAGATCCCAGTCCCGTCTTCGGCATTTCTATTGGCACACAAAACTCGTATTCGAGTCAGAAGTTCATCTAGATAAGGTAACTGGAATTAGGAAAATTTTCTTTCGACAGACATGTAGAACTGCAGAAACGGAATGGAGATTTGGGCCGACAAAATCCAAAAAAATATAGAGTTTAAAAATAAAGAGTTTAAATGTGATGCTCAGAATGTTTTTGGTTATCCAGAAAACACTGAGCACAGCTCCCTGTTCTCCATGCTCGGAATTCTACCCGCAACAGACAGGGTTTGCTCCGGTTTCCCACTGTTTGTTTCCATTTACCAATCATATTTCTGACCCATGGATAAAGAAGTTTTATGCATACGTCCCTCAGCCAACCTTTTCTGTCCATTTAAAGTCATATGGCATATGTTAAAGTCATATACAGAGTGATGAAACAAACCAAACTAATCCGTATGGGATTTCAACTGAGGTGTTTTTGTGATTGTTGCAGCAGATTTTTTTCGAAGTTTGAGATGCAATTTGCAGAGTTATTTGTGCTTTTTTGCGGAAAACTACTGGGCGAAATCGCAATTGCATGAAATTGTTTTTCACGGTCTTTCACAGCAATGTTTGTTAATAAATGAGACCTCTTAGCTGTACTCAGGTTCGACGCAAATGAATCGAAGAGGGCTTTGGCTGAATGTGCGTTGTGATGAGGTCACATGACACATCTTGACCTAAATCGGTGGTCATTTTGAATAGCTGAAAGATCCTCAGAATATTGCGGCGTTTCCAGGAGTTCATCGTTCATAACTGCGATTCCAAAAAATTTACATAATTTTTTTTTTAAATAAACATTCATTTTAATTAATTATTTATTTAAATTGCTGCATACTGGAGGGACTAACAAATAGCAAGCAAAACAAAAGCATCCAATTTCACACCAATTCATACTCAACAATCAGACAAGCATACATGCACCTAAATGCCCTGTATCTTCGCTGTACCATTCCCCCAATCTTAACTGTTGAGGACACTCATGGACAACTATCACAAAACATACACAGCTGTTGATCATCCAGGTAACGACACAGTATTGCAAATCATGTATATAAATGTTTGAACTGGTTCATTTGTGCAAATTCAGTTATTGTGTCTTGTGGACTCTTATGTTAAATAGCTTATTCAGGGTAGTACTTAATACAAAATAAAATGTGATTGTAAAGATCCCTCTTTTTTTATTATTAACATTTTGCAGAATCTGCAAGGGGTATGTAAATTTATGAGCACAACCAAATATCCAATATGGTTTTGGCATTATGCTTTGTTACACACTGACATTTATTGGGGAATCAACAGATCAATCTGAAAATCAAAATCAGCCAACTTCAACACTAAACTATAATTATCTAAGCCTTAGCTTGCCAACACTGGGTGTGTCATGCTTTATGATCACGCGTCACCATCTGTCTGCGTACGATTATCTCGAACTAGCCGGGAAAACGTCTTTCGCTGTACTCCTTTCAGGCACAATGATGTTGGACACAATTGAGCTGGCGTATGATTAGAAATTGCCCGCCAAATTCAAACCCAAGAGCGCCGACTGAGCTTTAAGCAGTTTAATTAGCTCAAAAGGCAAGTAAAATTCTCATGGTTAAAATGAGACCTCTCATTTGAAGGAACAAAAAAGTCCTCAGCACGGAGTTCCGCATCATTGCGTAGAACTGCTTTCATGATCAAGTCCGAAGTCCACCTTTCTCCAATTCTCATTGATCTCCTGAATAAACACACTCGAACTCTTGCATCTCTGAAACAAAACACCTGCGGCCCATTTGAACTCACCCCCCATCTACTACATCTGTAGGAAAGCATCACGTGCGGTCATGAATAATTAAGAGATAGCATCTTCTCATAGGATAAGAACATGCAGGCTCATGAATAATTATGAGACACTGATAGGTCATCGAAGTACTATAGTACATTACCACCAAATCTTCCACCACCATCTCGTCAGTCGGCTCGCCTCACTCTCGTCCCGTCAGTCGGCTCGCTTCACTCTTCTCACGTGCGAAATGAAATCGGACTCCTGCTGATCTGTGCTGCAACTCGTACTCATTCGGCTCATGGTGAATTGAGCCGAGGCATTCAGTTTTTAATTATAACGTCCGTTTCATGCTCAAAAAAAGTTGCATGCTGCGCTTGCATCAGACACGCCATGCAGGGCGTGTGGACAGCATTTAGCGCAAGTTTTACAAATCATGACAATCACGCACAGTTTTAATTATAATTAAATGTGACACGGTAATACTAATCGGAATTTTATCGAGGTTTATCGTGAAACCGTTAACCGTTTCATCCCTACCAGGAACTAGGGGTTTTTGGAGATGCCTTGTGCGTTTCCACCGCAGGGACCAAGCACTAAATTAAGTTCCGGGTAAAAAATATTTCCCCCTCAGAAAGTCCATACTTGGGAGGTGGTACTTTTTCAAAGTTCAGGACCTTCAGAGGGTGGCAACTGGCTGCTAAACATGCTGAATGGTTGAAAGTCTGTTACAGTGCATACAGTGACAGTTTATTGCGATTCGAATCAACATAGTTTCTTAATAAAGATGACGGATAGACCGACGACGAGGTTCAGGCCCTAACTTTTAATGCTGAGGACGAAATAGTGTCTTTATCAGAATTCACAAAATAAATACATTTTTAAAATACGACCCTTTATTTAAAGATTTAAAAAATAATTAATTCTGTGACTGGGAATCAAACCTGGGCCACGGCAGTGAAAGTGTTGAATCCTAACCACTAGACCATGAGCTTATGTTGCAGCGAACTCTTATTATTGTTCCAACCAGAGGCTGCTATGTATTTTTTTAATGAGCTGAACAAAAATTTCACACTGTTCAGTCATTAAAATCAGCTCAATTTGAGTTAATAATCAAAATCAGCTCAATTTGAGTTAATAATCAGTTTGATTGTAGCATACTTGAGGCTTCAAATCCGCACAAAGGGCTTGTCGCATGCAGTCATGCATCACCAGCCTAACTTGCCTAATCTAAATGGTACTTTAGACTGCAATGAAGGAACCAAATGGTCCTTTGAAAAAAGTTCCTGGGACTAACTGTTCTGGGTAATTTCAGTGGAAACACAACTGTAATGAGAAAAATGTGGAGGAAGGCTTGGTTAGGGAGATGTGAAAGAGTTACTCTTTGGCACCTATCTTTTTGCACTACCTGTTATATCTAACACTTTCACACTAAAACGGTGTGCTGGTCAGTGCTACATTGTCATTTACTGTGCCTTTTGTCCTGTTTAGTAGTACTGTACAGTCTTGTTATTAGCACACGTTTGCATGTGCACGTCAAGTAAAAATGTGTAGTTCTTATTTAGTTCGGTGTCGTCTCTTTTGGTTAGTGTGTTTTATGTAGGGATGCACAGAATGTTTGGCAACCGAATAATTTCGGGTGCAGAACATTCGGTGCATCCCGACATAAAACATTCAAAATAAGCGAAAAAGCCAAATAAATTTGACCGAACAATGACGTGTTTGATGACGCGACCAAACAGCCTAGCAACTAGAGTGAGACGTGCGAATGTCATGACCTCCACTTCCGGCAGCGCGCTTCCTGAGAGGAGGGGCGCGCGCGCATGCACGAGCTACGTGCTCTTCGGATGTTGACAACCGTGACATTGCTTACTGTGGACACATGCATTTGTTTTGTTTCTGTTCCGGACTATTTGGTCACGTCGCGAGATGTAAGGGAGTAGAGTATGGAAGCAGGTAAAGACGTATTTATTTAAGGGCAGGCAGACAAATCCAAATTGTAATCCAAAAAACAGTCAAGACAGGCAAAGGGTCGGGTGATCGGCAAACAGGCATGAATGGGGCAAAGCAGGAATCTAAGTCGTGGTCACAGAAAACAGGGTCACAACACAAAACGAGAGACACAAACTACTGCTGTGGACTGGGAGCAGAAAAACCAGCGGGGACTAAATAAACTAATCTATAGTTTAAACTAACTAAATCTATCAAGGAACATAACGTATCTAACTATACTATATCTACTATAATACTCCGAAGTGTACAGGGACGCTAGTGGTATATATCCCAAATATAATCAGCCGTATATAACAATTTTTGCACTCTTGTAACACTCTTTTTGTTGTAGGCTACAGAGTGTTACATTCTTTCAGCAGTCAGTTATAGGCCTAACATCGGCTATTCAATGGGGCTCAAAGATGACCACAAAAATATTTTTATTTTACCAATTTATTTATTAAAAGTTATATTGTTCCTTGTTGGTAGCCTATGCCTGCTGCAATGAAAAAAAATTCCACTGTTAAATAAATATTTTGAAATTGTAGTTTTTGTAATTGATTCTTTGAGAAACACGACAAAATAGTAAAAAGCACATTTTGACTAATTTATGCAATGGTGAAAATATGGCTAAATAAATGGAAAACACAAAAAAGTGTTCGGCGTTCGGCCAAGTTTTTCATTATATTCGGCTAAGAATTTTCAATTCCCTGCATCCCAAGCATCACGGTCCTGGAAGAACGCCGTTTCATTCCACTGTGTACTGTACCAGCTGTATATGGTTGAAATGACAAAGTGAACTTGAACATGAACTGAGGATCGTCCGTTCTGCTAAGAGAAGAGGTACAGTGAATGTGAAGAATGCCATGTTTGTTTTTATTTCTGCTATTCCTTAAAAAACCATTTGGGTATGACATGTTGGGGGATGTTCAAGTGGATTCAGAGATCTCCTGCACACTGCAGGAAATACATTTGATTCCTCTCAAGTTTTAATTGGTTGTTTCTCAGTGCAGTTGTAAAAACACTCACACGCCACGATTCATCGGCAACAAACTGGAACGCGCATGAAAATATCAGTGCTGCAGCGATCGCTCAGACACTGCTGAACACAAAATCTGCTTTGCGTGCTTTCCCATGCCTCCCACCCCTCAGGTAAATTCCAGGTTAGGCCACTAACCATCGAGGAACTCGTTCTACACACACACTAATGTTTAATATTTCACTATTGCCCTGGTAGAATTTACAAACCTATAATTAAAATAAACCAACTTTGGAAATTCTTCTGCTGCTCTTCCCAAATAAAAACTCACTGACACTGAACGCTGATCAATAAACTAAAGAATTATTTGTTCCACTCAACAACAAACCTTTATTTGTGTGATTAATTTAGCTATGGGTTGGTACAGATACTAGTATCAGGTGTCTGTCCGATACCATGCTCGTTTACTCTGAATTGTTTAAATAAAATAAAAAAATAAAAAAAAGAGATCCCATTACCAGATGATACTGGTTAGCGTAAGCCTAATGTACACCGTAGAACAGCAAGCTTGCCATGTTTCACAATTAATAACAGCGATCAAGGCCAAACAGACTACAAACAGTGCTCTGGGATAAATACTAAGGATCTTCATACACGACGGGTAACCTTGTAACCTTCCCAAGACACGCGTTACACAGAGCAGCACAACACACTCAGAGGAAAGTGCAATCCACCCTCTTCCACATACATGACCTCACAGACACCCATGACTGGCAGGTGTCACTGTGATTGACAGGGAAGAGCGAGAGAGCGAGAATGCCGCCCCTCCCACACAGAGAACATGGCCAATTTTGCTCCCGTTGCTCCTGGTGATGGATGGAGCAAGCATGAGAAGAGACACCCCGAGAGAGAGAGAGAGAGAGAGAGAGAGAGCATGAGAAGAGACACCACCGGGAAAGAGAGAGAGAAGAGACACCCCAGAGAGAGAGAGAGAAGAGACACCCCGAGACAGAGAGAGAGAGAATAAGAGACACCCCGAGAGAGAGAGAATAAGAGACACCCTGAGAGAGAGAGAGAGAGAGAGAGAGAGAGAGAGAGGACACCCAGAGAGAGAGAGAGAGAAGACACCCGGAGAGAGAGAGAGAGAAGACACCCAGAGAAAGAGAGAGAAGAGAGAGAAGAGACAGAGAGAGAGAAGAGACAGACAGAGAGAGAGAGAGAGGAGACAGAGTGAGAAGAGACAGAGAGAGAGAGAGAGAGAAGAGAGAGAGAGAGAGAGAGAGAGAGACACAGAGAGAGAGAGACACCCCGAGAGAGAGAGAATAAGAGACACCCCGAGAGAGAGAGAATAAGAGACACCCCGAGAGAGAGAGAGAGGACACCCCGAGAGAGAGACGAGAGAGAGAGGACACCCGAGGAGAGAGAGAGAGAGAGGACACCCCGAGAGAGAGAGAGAGAGAAGGACACCCCGAGAGAGAGAGAGGACACCCCGAGAGAGAGAGAGAGGACACCCCGAGAGAGAGAGAGAAGACACCCAGAGAGAGAGAGAGAAGACACCAGAGAAAGAGAGAGACAGAGAGAGGAGAGACAGAGAGAGAGAGAGAGAAGAGAGAGAGAGAGGAGAGACAGAGACAGAGAGAGAGAATAAGAGACAGAGAGAGAGAATAAGAGACACCCAGAGAGAATAAGAGACACCCAGAGAGAGAGAGAATAAGAGACACCCAGAGAAAAAATAAAGAGAACAGAGAGAAAAAATAAGAGACACCCGAGAGAGAGAGAGAGATAAGAGACACCCGAGAGAGAGAAAAAAAAAAAAAAAACAGAAGAACCCAGAAAAGAGAGAAGACACCCAGACAGAGAGAAGAGAGAAGAGACAGAGAGAGGAAGAGACAGACAGAGAGAGAGAAGAGACAGAGAGAGAGACAGAGAAAGAGACAGAGAGAAAAAAGAGAAGACACCCAGAGAGAGAGAGACAGCCAGAGAGAGAGAGAGAGAGAGAGAGAGAGACACAGAGAGAGTGACAGAGAGAGAGAAGACACCCAGAGAGAGAGAATAAGAGACACCCTGAGAGAGAGAGAAGAGACACCTCAAGAGAGAGAGAGAGAATAAGAGACACCCCGAGAGAGAGAATGAGACACCCCGAGAGAGAGAGAGAATAAGAGACACCCCGAGAAAGAATAAGAGACACCCGAGGAGAGAGAATGAGACACCCGAGAAGAGAGAGAGAGAGAGAATAAAGAGACACCCGAAAGAGAGAGAATAAGAGACACCCGAGAGAGAGAAATAAGAGACACCCGAGAGAGAAAATAAGAGACACCGAGAGAGAATGAGACACCCCCAAGAGATAAGAGAACCGAGAGAGAGAGACACCCAGAGAGAGAGAGAAGAAAGAGGACACCCAGAGAAAGAAGAGACCCAGAGAGAGAGAGAAAAATAAGAGACACCCCGAGAGAGAGAATGAGGACACGCTGAGAGAAAAAAATAAGAGACAGAGAGAGAGAGAGAAAGAAGAGACACCCAGAGAGAGAGAGAAACGCAGAGAGAGAGAGAAGACACCCAGAAGAGAAGACACGCAGAGAGAGAGGACACCCAGAGAGAGAGAGAAGACACCGAGAGAGAGGAGAGAGAAGACACCAGAGAGAGAAGACACCCAGAAAGAACAGAGAGACACAGAGAGAGAAAGAACACAGAGGGAAGAGAGAAGACAGAGAGAGAAACACCCAGAGAAAGAGAGAAAACACAAGAGAGAGAGAGAGAGAACACAGAGAGAGAGAGAAAACACAGAGAGAAAAGAGAAAACACACAGAGAGAGAGAGAGAAGACACACAGAGAGAGAGAGAGAAAAGAGACAAAAAAAAAAAGAGAGAGAGAAGACACCCAGAGAGAGAGAAAACACCCAGAGAGAGAGAGAGACACCCGGAGAGAGGAGACAGAGAGAAAGAGAGAGAAGAGACAGAGAGAGAGGGAAGAGACAGACAGATAGAGAGAAAAGACACAGAGAGAGCGAGAGAGAGAAGACA